GGCCCATAAACCCGATAAACACCCTTTTCGTAGGAAAACAGGCAGGTTGTAGGGATTAATGAGTGGGGCTACATAAGCTATTGTTGTCGTGCTGTGGAACAAAGAACAGACTTCGTCGAAATCAACGGTCGGACTGTCATTATTTTATCGCAGGATTAATGCTACAGACTCGACGAATTCGATGTGGAATTAATCCTGTATTTATTATTTAAAAAGCGGTTTTGACTGCGATGTAATGGCATATAAACGGATGCCCTCCCTTAAGAGTTTTGACGTTAATCGTCAGAGGGAATTTTTGCGGAAAGCGTGTGACCAGACTCCTTATACTTCAGTTTTTAAATTACAAAAGAGAGATGTGTCGCAATATTCTATAAAAAGTACCTAACTGCTGACATATTTAGAGATATAATTTATTGTAGTTTCTAAATAGCGTGCGCAGCTTTGCCATTTTTAAGTAGTAGCACTATCAAACATATTTTTAAAAATTCACAGTTTCAGTGTAAAAAAACACGTTCCACAACGGTCAGCAAATGAAGCGATTGTCTGTAAGGTAGAATGTACATTATTGAGTATATTGCATTAAAATGTACACAAATTAAATAAATAATCAAGTTTAATTTATGGTGGCAAAATCTTCCGGTCTGTACATTCAGGCACAACAACTCATTTTTAAATAAAAAGAATAAAAGCGGCTTAATTCCAAAATCACTGCCGAAAGATTGACTCATAATTAGTCGTCCCCTGTGTCAGCCGCACTACTGTTTTACTTGATAAAATGAATGCGTCGATATTTTTAAGCGATGAGGTACAGACTTTTTCCAGAAGTTGAAAACACTCGAAGGTTGCCTGTAAATACGTATTTAGTGAAGGAAAATCCCCAGGATATTATGCTGCCCTCTCTAAGTGATTCAATTGCATTAGAAGATCCTGGATATCAAACACAAACCGTCCGCCCACGGATGCCGCAAAAGAATTGGGACTTATCTCTAGGCAAATTAGCCTCACTGGGATATTCAAAATCCACCAAGTGTGGAAGCACTATGTAGGTAATACTAAGATCGTATATCCAGACCAGGGCCTTACGCATGCAGAAGAGGGTATAATCTGCTCTCTAGGCATTGGTTCGAGCCGTAAAATTTGAATATAAAGGCTTTATGAATCGCATTTGTTACATAAAATGAAAAGCCAATGCCCAGCGTGAGAGTTCGTTCCACGAGACTGAACATTAGATCATTTTAACTCTTAGCATGCGTTTGTTGTGCCACGATATGTTTGTGTTGTTCTTTAACCGTTGCACCTCACGGATACATCACGCACCTGAAATAATTCAATTCACCTGCGATGGCGTGCGGGCCTATTTAAAAAACCCGATGGCTCATACATGCAATACGAAAAGGACACTAGGCAAATAATGTCATTTCTGAAGCCTTATTTCATGTATTTCCAGCCACAACAACTATATCGGTAATAAATATTGAGTTCAACTCTATATATGTCATGGAACAAAGAACCATCCGGAACACAAATTTTCAAGTGTGCATGTACAGTTATGATCGGTTTACTAATTATTTGTAGGTAAGTGTTACCGTCAGGCACAAAACAAGGGAATATTTAGAACTAGTGGAAAATATTATCAAAATATATTACAGACAGGGAATCGTTCCTGTGCTCAATTTCTGCCAGGATCCCGAGGATTTGGGAAAGCACAGTCTTCCACTAAGAGATTGGAGCAGATTTTTCTTAAAAGAGCAAAAATAACAAGCCTCTACAACAGTCATTTTCCACGTAGTTGTAGAAAAATGGCTATATCTCCTGAAACATAATGAGCCTTATGTGTTCCGTTAGTCTCAGACAATTCATTCATGTGCAAATCATAATATTGGGGAAGCTCCTAAAAGGTGCGTACAAAGGGGAAACGCAAATGATCAAAATTGTGCAGATCGCCAATAGTCAACTAACCCTATCTCACTTTCTTCCGAAAGCCTTTCCTGAAATCGATGTGTATGTGCAATACATCGACAAATAGTGTGGAATGAAAGCGTGTTTTATACTAAAAAGTCATTCCCTCAACACACTGTTGATTGTCTGGTATAGACTTTCCGTTGTTGCACACGTGAAGATGGTTAAAATCGTATGCCTTTAAACTTTACTGTAATTTAAATAATAAAATTTGCCGAAAGATGGTACTTGATAAATATGACTTTCGATGATGGCACACAAATCTGTCTGATCTAGGGACCTCAAAGAGGGGCATCCATATTGGTTAGTTGACAACGGTTCATCTAAGGGCTCCGTCGCATTATGCATTGTATCGCGATTTCAAGAGCTCCCAGCCTGAGTGTTGTCAAACTCAAGTACGTCGCGCTGTGAATAATGATTGACAACTATAAACGATGAAAAATAAATAACTATGACAGGACAGCAACCATGTGTTCGGCTCATTACACATTGAAGTATTATTTGAGCATAGATCATAAAGTGCTCACATGAATGAAACTGTTTTCTTTACGCATAACAGTTTGTTGAAATCTTCGAATTCTCATACTTTATTGTTTCGCTTATTGACACTTGGGGAAAAAGGAATGCACCAAAATAGAAACTTGCAAAAACGTGCAAATATTTATCAAACTGAAGGTTTATTCAGTTCACACAGAATAACATCCCCTAATTCCTGTCAAATATGCAAAAAACATATCATTAAGAATGCACAACATGACAAATGACATGATACGCAGTACGATTTTATGCTTTGTTGTAGCTCTCAATGTCACGTTACAACAAAAAACGAAGGTCGCTAGAGTAAAATGTCCTTTGTCATGATGAGAGTCCCTAATTATATGTTTTTGCAATAATGAAAGGAATTCAGGAATGTTCCTCTGTCGCTTAAATTTTAGGCTGTCTGTCTGGATTCCCTGCTGCGAAAAAAATCTCACTGTATACTAGTGAAGCGATATCATATTATTTAGTTTAACATGTGTGCAGATTTGTTGCAATTCTCTAGGCCATGTTGGTGTTGTATCTTCTCGTTTTTTTCTCCCGAACAGCCTTCTTGACAACTAAACCTTCGGTTTGTCTGCTTTGTAGCACTTCCAGGTGGCGCATTTACTGGACACAAAACCAGCCCAGTGTGCGTTGCGTGTGAACTATCTTATGAGTGGTTTAGACGTCAGAAGGCGATTACTCCCTCTAATTACCGGGGGTGCAAATCCTGATATATGTGTCATGGGGACTAGGTCGTTCTGTGAGGCGCGCATACGGGTTCCCTAGTCTCTCAGTCTCAGCGCCCATCCCGCATCAGACTAGCGATAAGCTGGGCGGTGGCTTCATGCTACCTTTAGGGGCGGGAGTCAGGTCAACACTCAGCGTAATTCCTTGCGCACGATGAGCCATCCGAAGTGCTTGAAGCCCTCACGGTGTGCCAAAAAACCGTTGCAAGGAGGTTGTTTACCAGGGGGATAACTCGAACAGCGCAGTCAGTCCAGTGCGTGTGTTGTTTTGTGGAGTGTCCGAATGGCAGACGGAGAGTTAGGTTGCAATGGCTCCTTCTTCATGTAGTCTTTATGGCACCCCCGCGTAAGTGGGAACGTAGCCAGGTGTTGTTGTGGCGCGCATGGGAGTGGCGGCCGTATCAGCCACATAAGTTCTCCCCCAATGCCGGTCTTCCCGACTTTTTCTTGACACTGGAGACAGGTGTTGGGATTGGTGGGAGACTGAGGTAGATTCTACACATCGTCTATTTTTCCTCTAATCGAGTGTGAGTCACCGCGTTTGCTTTCAGCTTGCTGAAGCTCACGGTGTACGTCTTCAAAAATGTCACGTGAATTAATTGTTCATGTCTTCATTAGAAAACGTGCTTCCGTGATCTTGAAACAAAGGACTTTTATCGTTGTGGATTAATATTTGTGGTCTAAA